AAATAAAAATTAATGAATAAAAACAAAATCAAAATTTAAAAAAAACCAACAACAACAAAAACTAGGAAAACCAACTCAAACACTTTTAGGAACATACCATATCCGTCTATTTCCAAGCTCATTTCCCTGACCAGTGCCCAAGTCTTTGCTTTAGAAAATTAACCCCTCGACCCAAAACAATAATAAGAATCCCCCTCCCCCTGACCGGATGAAAGGGTCAGCGCACAGTGTGATCCCCTGTGACCACCTGGAGTATACGAGTGGATCGTGGCGATCTGGCCAGAACCCTAGGGTCAACATTCGACCACTTGGCTTCGTTCTTGCGGTCAGCTCTTGAGGATTGGAAAGGACTACTCCCAAAACAATACAAGCACGCTCTTCGAACACGTGGCGGGGGCGAGTTCATCTATTCTTCCTCTCTGTGTTCGGACTTAGAGCTCATGAACACGCAAGATTTACCCCAATTGTTGGAGTGTAATGAGAAGCAGATGTCTTGGAAATCCAGTCTTATCGCGTGGTATGAGATGAAAATATTTTTGATAGCAGCAGTAAAGTCCCCTTCATAATTATTTACCTACTCTCTCCCTGTACCGTCAGGGACACGAAGCAGAGAGAAATCGACGCCACGTTTGTCTGTCCATATCCTCTTCATATGATCTAATAAATAACCAAAGACCTTGAGCTCATAAAATAATAAAGGAAAGAACATCCCATTCAAATAGTACAAAGTAACCATATATTTCACACCAAAGGTATCTGACGTGTTTTTCGATTACATTTTTTTTTTGGTTTGACTGGTACAAAACTCAGAGCCCAATGAACTGTGATTTTGATCTCTATGGTGCCATGTAGTGTTTGAAGATCGGATATCGTTTTGTAGAGGGGCACCAGGAAAAGAATAAGAGATGATTGGGAAACAACCGAAATGATCTTAACCATAGCCGTAAATTACAATAAAATTGTTGTTTTACTTCCGTTGTTTTGGTGTTTATTCGATTGTTGTGGGGTAATTTTGATTTGGATTAGTTAAATCTGCCAATTGTTGTGAAGTGAATACATTAAAATAAGCATTATAAAAATTGCATGCTCTGAAAGATCTACACCTAACCTTCTCGGACAAGAGCGAAAAATCTCGGAGGGCTCGTGTGCAAGTCGCGCATGTTAAAGATCCCTTGATGGTCTAAAATCGATAAGAGTAGGTTTCGGCAGCCACCCGGGCAAAATTCAAAATTTCCTACCAACTGAAAATATTAGGTGTGTCCCGCGCGCTCATATGACCTTATGCAGTTGCGAGCGCCGTAAAACACTTTACAAAAACAAACAAAACGCATCCTCTTACTTCTCCTCCTCCTCCTCCTCCCCATTCTCCATCCTCGTCATCCTCCTCTTTCTCCACTTTACAGTAACCATCAACGGCATAACTTCCAACGCGAGTATGAACAACAGCAATAGCAACCTTAATGACAGCCACAATAGCAACAAAAACCCACATCAAGAATAAATACAAATATAACGCTGGCGGTAGCTACAACAACAACACAGCATATATCTAAATAACAAAACAGCAACAACTAATATAATAACAAGAGAAACTATTTCTTTAAACAAAAGTCTCAAAGGGTAAACCCCAGAAAAACTAGGCTAACACATGTTTTGTAAAAAGCCCAAACACGAAGAAAAACTCTGTCGGTGCCAACAAAAGCAGGGCTGGCTAAAGTTCCCTGAAAACGGTAGCGTTGTCGGAGCTGTCCTCGCCTCGAGTGCTTTCCAAACAGACCGTGGCAAGAGACAACGAGGCCGCCCCTGCAAGTGGCTCTAATGATCGGGGCCCAAGGAATTCTAAGACTCAATATTGACTCTCGGGTTATTGCTGGTCAATTGGTCACACGCTGTGGCGGCTGCTGGCCTGCTAAACCGCCCCTGTGTTGTCGGGCCCGGTAATCCTCCCAGTTGACAACTCGGGGACTGTTATCTAGAGCGAGAGCCGCTGCACTGTTAGGCTTGACCTTTTTGTTCCAGCTTTATTATAGCCGTTAGATCCTTCTGACCTGATGACATTTAAGGCCTTAGGTCGTCGAAAAAAAAACGTATTTTGTTTGCTCAGTGCTGTTTGATTGCAGTTTACGACGTGGTGATCCAAAACGCCACATTTCCCCCAGACATAAGTCTGCAAGGGCATTGGTATCTTGGAAAAAGAAAGTAGAAAGAACAGAACGTGCCAGAGCATGTCATTTCTAAAAATAAAATATTCCCTGTCTTCGATATATGCATCTATGCGTTTGGGTCATGCACGCCGAGTGAACAATCTGATTTTCCTGTTTTCTTATCTTCTAAAAAAAAATTGAACCCAGAAAAGACAGCAACAATACCAAATTTATTAGTACCCCACCTAAAACATTTATATACACTATAGTATTAAAACATCATCAGCAATAACTATAGCATCACATGTATTATGATCTACTATTTCAAGAACATGACACATCAATAACGATAACACCGACGACTTTAATCACCACAACAATAGCAACAGAAGCAATAACGAAAAAAAAGTTACCCAAATAAAAGGAGCACCGAAACGGGTGCACGATCTGCCCAACCTCACAAATTTCAAAACATTCCTAAAGATTACACTGACATGATATAACCTTTCACCATTCACCAGCATTCGCTAATGTCCATATTTTCCTTCTATCTCCAGGCCGGGGAGACAAATCAGGCCGAGGTAACCACAAATCAGACCACAAAACCACCAGGGTTCGAACCGTGCTCAACGAGAAACAGCTGCACACGCTTCGAACCTGCTACAACGCCAACCCCAGGCCGGACGCGCTAATGAAGGAGCAGCTCACAGAGATGACTGGGCTCAGTCCCAGAGTGATTCGGGTTTGGTTCCAGAACAAACGCTGCAAGGATAAAAAGCGATCAATCCTCATGAAGCAGATACAGCAGCAACAAGAAAAGGTAAGCTATCACAGCTTTGTTTTACTTTCTCAGTCTTACTTTTTTTACATTTTCTTGAAAAAATGTGTCCTACTTTAATCATCACCATCATCATCATCATCATCATCATCATCATCATCATCATCATCATCATCATCACCATCATCATCATCATCATCATCGCCTTCGTTGTCAACGTATATGTCAACAGCAGCAACACTTACATAGTCGCTGTTGTCAACGAGTGCAGAAATTATCACACCACCGAAAACAATACAATCAAAACACTATTAAAACATTTTTTGCGCTTTAAATTTTCACCATTTTTCATTCTCACAACACTGCCTAGTACACGTGGTGCCCCAGCCTTGCTTTGTTTTGTTTGATTTTATTTTTTAAACTGAGAAAGTTGAAATGAAATGCAAAATTCCGCAACACTCCACATTCAAGCGACTTTGACAAAAGCCGAAAAGCAAAAAAGACCAATGAGAAACGCTTTAAATCTGAAACTGTGGACATTAATACAGGGCATATACATCCCTCTGTCCCAAGAGGCGACGACACTTTCATTTCTATCTCTGTAATCTCGTGAAACCCATTTGATAAAATTAACACGACCCTGTTTTAGCCGATAAACCCGTTTGGAACCCTTGCCTTTTCCTCACTTCGGCTTTTCTCGAGCAGTAAACGCCCCAAGTTTTTAAGAGCATCCCCCGTTCCAGAACAGACACTGCTCAACGAGACTGCCTATCACGATCTGGCAAATCGAACATTCATTATCAGCCCACCAGATTTCGTACCGGTCCCTCTCCAGGGAGGTGAGCTCGGTCAAAAAGTTCCAGCTGAATGTTTCTCGTAAAACCTACCATGTCACAATGGTTTGATCCTCGTGTTATTGGCTGCTGGGCTTATACTCCGTGCCAGGTGAGCCTCGGACAGGTGTGCTGATAGGCCCGACAGTGGGCGTCACGTCACCTCTTTGTGGCTTTGCTTTGTGGATCTGATGGTTCCGAGTTGACTTAAGCATTTTCTCCCTGGTTTAACGACCACACCTGGCTGCGTCTTTCCGCCAGAAAGTTCCGTCCTCCGAGGCAAAGTGGTTATGAGCAGCATTAACAAACAGTTTTTTTTTTTTTTTTTTCTTTCTTCTTTTCGTTTAGAGGAAAAGAAGACAGCTATGTTGTAGAGAGCTTTCAAACTCTGAAATTTGAAGCAGATTTATAATCCTCTTAGCCAGTAAAAAGACCAAAGAATCAAGCACCTTTATAATGAATCTGCGAAATCTGAACTTTCCTTTTTTCAAAACATTGTTGACAATTTACAGTCCTCAATTCTTAGCCTTTTCGAAATGCTTTTAAAGATGTTATATATATATGTGAAGGGTGCTGACAAAATGAGTTACTTCTCGGATTTGAGGCCTATTGAAGTAGATACTTCATGCTTATAGGTGAAGTTTTTGTAATTTTTAAGTATGAAATAATAAAAGGAACGTTATACTTAAAGAATATGGCATTAATAGAAAATCTACAAATTTGATCCTAGTGTCGATTTTCGGCCAGTATCTCAATTTGTAGATTGTGAGAAGTAACTCATTTTGTCAGCTCGCCTTACATATGTATATTACATGCACAAATACATACACATATACATATGCACCTACACCATACACAAACAATGAAACATACACGCCAACTGAGCACAACACACACACGAA